GAAATTTTATATGTGAGAAAGAAGTTTTTTTAAAGATTTCTCAAGAACCACCAGGCCGATTTTAACGTTCTTACTACTATTAGATGCATCTTGATGAGCTTTACAACTTTTGTTACAAGCCCAAGAAAGATTTACTTAGTAAAAAAAAGTTTTAGATAGAAGCACTACACATTTAGACTTATAGTAAAATTTACATATAAAAAAAAATATTTGTTTAGATGACTCACGATTTGCTTATTAAATGAGTAAAACTAATTAAAATACAAAATATATATATTTAAGTAAGGTTATTACATACTTGATAGCACTATATTCTGTAAAATTTGTTAGTAAAATCATTTTTATTTAGGTTCAACATGTATTTAGAAAGTTCTTGTTAAAGTATTTCTTAAAAGCTTTTTTTAATTTATTTTGCGTAAGATAAATATGGTTTAGAAAAGGATATTTGACAATGCTTATATATATGTTCTATAGAGGTATTTTATAATAGGTTTAAAAAAAAAAACTTTCCAAATATTATATTATATTATATAACTAAAGTATTTATGTCTAGCACTTTTGCTAAAAGATCATTTTCACAATTACTCTTTTGCTATTTTAGTTTATTTTTGATTTTGCAAATATTAATATCTAGCTTTCAGATTAAAAAATAAAGCTGCATATTTTGTTTAAACAGCTGCTAGTCAACTTGTTGATGATAGTTAAGATAATCTTATTTTATTTGTATAAAAAAAAAAAAATTTTTTTCAAAAAAAAAAAAAACCACAAAGAGCCCATCTGAAACATCTAAAGATCAAAAAAAAACTTATATACTATACTATTATGATCATATACTGTAGTTGATTCTGATTGGATAGTTGTCAATCTTGTAATCATAACCTAGATAGTGATCTGGATCATGATCTTTGTCTTTCTTATGAATACTATAATAGCAGTGATAAAGACCTATTATATTTACTAGAACACAATGAGATTTAGATGAGTTGACGTTCAGTTTGACATTTAGCAGAATATGATTGGCTTTAGGTAGATTGATATTTAACAGAGATTTGGTTGTATTGTTGTAATTGATTTTGTTATTTACTTTTATCTTTATCACTTATTTTTGCAAATATATCTTGTATACTTATAATGCTTTTATTATAGGGTATCCATAAATAATATTATACAAGAGGAAGGAAGAGGTTTCACAAAAATAACGTTTTTTTATATTTTTTTGCTAAGTTAGAGAGGTCAAAGAAAAATAACCTAATTTTTTTATAAAAATATTAATATCTTGTGACCTAGTAGTTTTAATTAGATGAATTTGGTACTATTGGATTCATCTTAGTGAGAAGAATCCAATAGTATCAAAATTATTCAATTTGGATCACTGAATCAAAAACTATCAGCTATATTATTTTATATAAAATTACTATAGAATTAACAGTTTTTTGTCTATATCTTTTGATCCAGTAATTCAAATTGAATAATTTTAGTACCATTGGATTTTTCTCATTAAGACAAATCCAATAGTACCAAATTTATCTAATTTGGATTACTAGGTCATAAGATAATTAAGGTTTTGTAAAAATTTATATATAACAGGTTTTAAAATTTTTTTTATATAGTCTAGGGGGGTCAAGAGTTACTATATGGGGGTACATCATATTATTTATAGATACCCCTTAGATATATTAGAAGAATCACTATTGTTATAAGTATTATAAGTTGGTTAATAAGATCAGGACCCTGAATAATCTATAGACAGATAAGATTTTAGTTTGCTTATTTCAGACTATTTTTTTGTTGATCTTTTCTATTTATAATAATTAGTTTGCTTATTTCAGGATTTTTTCTGCAGATCTTTCTATTTTTAGTAATTTTTGCAAATTGTTAGCTATTTGTAGATTGTTCGAGATCCTATAAGATCCAACAATATTTTCAGATATATAATGAGAAATAATTGATTAGTATCGATTTTGGTTAATGAAAATAGCCAAATATAGAAAAGGTAAGTTGTTATTAGAAGAGTTGTTATTAGGAGAGTTGTTATTAGAAGTATTGTTATTATAAATATTGTTATTAGAAGAGTTGTTATTAGAAGAATTATTAATAGAAGCATTGTTATTAGAAGAGTTGTTATTAGAAGCATTGTTATTAGAAAAGTTGTTATTAGAAGTATTGTTATTAGAAGAATTGTTAGAAGAGTTGTTATTAGAAAAGTTGTTATTTTGAGTATTGTTATTAGAAGAATTGTTATTAGGATTATATATGCCATCAAAATAGGATTTCAAAAAAACTCTATTTTGTTTCCATTAGAGCAAATTAGAATTTTTTATATGCAAGAGCAAATCTAATTTAGGTAGTTATGTTTTTTATAATTTTGTCTCTTTAAAAAAAGTGTTAAAAAATTTTATCTTTTAAGTAAAATAGATCAAAAACAATTTCGTCTTCAAATTTTAATTTTGGGTTTTAGATCCCAAAATAATTTCATCAGCATTTACAATTAGGATCGTTGTTATTAAAAGCGTTGTTATCAAAAGCATTATTATTAGAAGCATTGTTATTAGAAGCGTTATTATTTAAAGAGTTGTTATTAGAAAAGTTGTTAGTAGAAGAGTTGTTAGTAGGAGAGTTGTAATTAGAAGCTATTTTTCAAAATTCAAAATTTAGAAAATGCCTTTACTTTTTTAATTTTCAAAATATTTATATAGATAACTAAAAGAAGAATAACAATATTAATCATTATATATTATAATAAAAAAAATAAAAATATAATTATATTATTTATTAGGTTTGGTCAACTTACGTATAGCAAAAATTTATTATTCTAAGAAATTAGATAATAAAATTAATGTTGTTAAATGTTATATATATATATTAAAAAAAAGTCTACTTACTTTATTTATAGTAATAAAATTAATATATTGCTGATATTATAAAGAAAAAAAAGTAATATATTGCTAATATCAATCATTATAAAAAAAAAGAGCAAAAGTATACTTATTTCATTTGATTTTTAACCATTTTGCATGATTACTAATTTACTATTATTACACATATAATAACAATATACTGAGTTTTATTTTATTATTAATAATTGTCGGGGATGATGCTGAAATCGGATGATGCTGAAATTTAGAGGCCTTAATTTGAAAATATAAATCCTACTAAAA